GTGGTTGGGAGGAACGGCCCCCCTGATCTGAACCAGAGTGGTGTTCTGTTGTTGGACTTCTGTGCTCGTCATGGATTGTCAATAACGAACACCTTGTTCAAGCATAAGGGTGTCCATATGTGCTCTTGGCACCAGGACACCCTAGGCCGCAGTTCGATGATCGACTTTGTCATCGTCTCATCTGATCTGCAGCCAGTCTTGCCCAGTCTGGGCCTCCCTACTTAGGCTGCTACCCCCGCGACCCGACCCCGGATAAGCGGAAGAAAATGGATGGATGGATGGATGGATGGATTTTTCTACCTGGATTATTGAGCATGCATCAGGATACTTAACATTTTAATCAAACACATGTTTATACTTTTTGCACATATTAAATTGTATTACCGTAATTTAAAAGACAATACTGTGAAATAGAGTTATCATTACTATGATAATATAGAACCTTTTTAGTTTGTTCTTATGCTTCTGAAAGTGATTGAACTGTTTGTTTTAGTTCTCTCTGTTTCTGAATGGTAAATGGACTGTACTTATATAGCATCTTTGTATCTATTCAAGACACTCAAAGCACTTTACACTACAACCTGTTTCATCATTTACCCATTCATACAGCTCTCTACTAGATCTCTACTAAGCTAATTGAACAAATCATTCTAAAGAGACTAATCAGTGCTTTATCACATTCATGCACTGATGGGACACACATCAGAGGCAACGAGGGGTTCAGTGTCTTGCCCAGGGACACTTTGGCATGTGACTGCTGGTGAATTCAAACCCCCAACTCTTGCATTGGAGGACGACTGCTCTAACCACTCAGCCACAGCCGCCCCTAATAATCACAAACTGATGGAGCAAGTTTGTTGTTGTTGTTCTACCTAGGTTGAGGTTTTGTTTCATTGATCTTTATTTTAGAAAAGCTCAGTATGCGAAGTATGGAAACTGAAAAAGATTAATAAATGCCCCCCTCCAAGAAGAAATGTTTGAGAAACCCTGCTGATTGTGTTTGATGAGCAGAAACATTTAGAAAATCAACATGGGTTAGAGATGGCCAGCTGATTCATTGGATAAAAGAATAAACAAGTTGAAGTGCAGTTTC